AATGGAGATTTTGTGGGGTCTTTGTTGTTGATGTTGTTATTACTGCTTTCTGTTTGTCAGGCTACTCTCTGTAGGGCTGCTGAGGGATAGCTCTAGGCCCGTTGCCTGGGTTTTCCCCTTACCTGGAGGTATCACCAGTGAAGTCTCCAAAACAGCAAAGATGACAGCCTGCCCCCTCCTCCGGGAGCTCCATCCCAGATGGGTCCTGACTTGTTGCTGGCTCAGATGCTCCTATAGGACGTGTCTGGAGACCCCTGTTGGGAGGTCTCACCCAGTAAGGAGGGATGGGATCAGGAACCCATTTAATCAGTTTTTTGGTAATCAGCTGTGCTTTGTTGGGGGGAACCCTTCCTTACCCAGACTGCCTGGACAGGCTGAGCCAACTGAACTGCAGAGACTATGACTGCCCCTCCCCAAAGGGGCTCTGTCCCAGGGAGAGATCAGAGATTTGTCTATATAACCCTAGCTGGAATTGCTGAAATTCCTTCAGGGAGGCCCCACCACTAAGGGGGGATGGATCAGGGTCCCACTTAAGCAGTCTGGCCACAAGCTGGCACAGCAGCTGTGCTGTGTTTGGTGGACTTCTCCTCAGCTGGGCTGCCTGGATTCACTGAAGCTAGCAGGCTACAACAGCTGAGTTGACCTAACCACAGAAATGGTGGCCATCCCTCCCCCTGGGAACTCATCTGTCTCAGGAAGTCTCTGGCCTGCTGCGTGGGCCACCTGGAATTCCAGGCCTGTGAGTCTTAACTTGTGAGGTGTGGAAGTGGGGCCTGCAGAATGATGCTGCTTGGCTGCCAGGAGTCCTAGGGATGGAGTCTGAAAAACTCCTGGGTTTCTGTGTGAGCCTGAGTGACTGCTTTGCTGAGACACTGCACAGCTGTGTGTCTTGATTACATTGGCTCACTAGGGGATCTCCTGATCCATGGGTTGCAAAGATCCACAGGAGAAGGGTGGTTTCCTGGGTGGGGTCACACAATCACTTACCACTTCCCTTGGCTGGGGATCAAGGTTCCTTTGGCTCCATGCTGCTCGCAGGAGGGACAGTGCCTACGCAGCTTTTCTTCATTCTCCATGGGTCAAGTGATTGCCTAGTCAGTCCCAAAGAGAGAACCTGGATATTTCAGATGAAGGTTCCAAATTCACTCACCGATCATTCCTCTTTGTGAGAGCTGTGGACTGTAGCTACTTCTAATCAGCCATCTTGGCCCCTCCCCCTCTTTCTGCACTTTATATAATTCCACTGCCTTCTGTCCTGCAAGATATCTGCTGAGAAATCAGTTTATAATATTATTGAGAATTTCTTGTACACAATGAGTTGCTTTTCTTGCTGCTTTCAAGATTTCCTCTTTGTTTCTTAAGATTGATTTTAATGTGTCTTAGTGTGGGTCCTTTTGGATTTTTCAACTTGGAGTTTGTTTAGCTTCTTGGATTTGTAGATTCATGTCTTCATCAAATTTGGAAAGATTTTGGCCATTATTTCTGCCAATAATCTTTCAACTCCTTTCTCTCTTCTTCTGAGACTCTCACAATGTATATACGCTGGTCCACTTGAAAGCGTCTCACAAATATTTTTGGCTCTGTTTATTTTCTTCATTGTTTTTCTTCTCCTCAGACTCAATAATTTTGATTGGCCTATCTTCAGGTTTGAAGATTCTTTGTGCTGCCTGCAAAATCTGGTGTTGAATCCTGCCAGTAAATTTTTCAATTCAGTTGTAGTATTTTCAGCTCCCAAATTTCTGTTTGAGTCCTTTTTATCATTTGTCCTTTGTTTACCTTTAGTTCTATAATCATATTTAAGACAGTTGTTTAAAAGTATTTGTCTTTTATATTCAATGCCTATGTTTATTTTCTTCCTTTAAATGGCCCATATAAGGCTTGTGATTTTATTGTTGAAAATTGGGCATTTGAAAAACAGCCATCTCTCCTAGTCTCTGTAGACTGGCTCTGGGATGGGGCAGTCCATCACTGATTAGCTGAGTATACTCTGAGCATAGTAATCAGTCTGAGGTGAAAATGTAAGGTCTTCTCAGATCTTTTATGTGGTTTTTATGGGTCTTCTCCATATACATAGCTGCTTTTGAGTGTCTAGAATGTCAGTTTTATGGCTCCACCCACAATCTCTTTTCCCAGGTGTCTGCAGGTCTGTAGTCCTTGTGCAGATTTCACAAGTAGTAGCTGCCACCTTGTCAAGGTCAAAACCATGCCACATGGGGGAGTGGGGCAAGGATGAATGAAGATACCAGGAAATTTCCTATCATTTTAAAGATGGCTTTTTCTTTATTGGCTGTTTGCTTGGTTGCTGTGGAACTTGGGCTGTTTTCCAGAGCACTTATAAGGTTAGTTTAGCCAGGCTCCAGTTGTTTTTTTGATGCTTACATAAAGGAACATGGACTTGGAGCTTCCTAATCTGTCATTTTGCTGATGTCCATTGACTACACTGGGAGTTCTTGAAGGATTAACGTGTCCCTGGACTTACTTCCTTCCTCCACTCTTCTTTGTACCTAAATCTATTGCTGGTTTAATTTCAGTGCTTACTTTCATACTGAAACTGCCATTCACAGAGTTGCCAGTGACTGCCTCAGTCAGGTTCAGACCTGCACTGTGTGTACAAAATAGGCCAATGCTTATTTTGGATCTTGTTTATTCCGCTGGATGTATTTTGATACCATTAACTTCTTCCTTCTGGAAAACTCTGAATTTTCCTACTCAGTAGGTTAATCTTTTCCCCTCTTCTTCCCATAGTTTAATTAGTGTTGTGTTACCCTGGGTTCTGTCCTGTGCCTTTTCTTAATTTGATCCTTTCCCTCTGGGTGATATCATCTATGATTCTTAGCCACCACTTGTATACTAATGACTTTCGAATTGATAGGGTTTATAGTACAGCTCTTTTTTAAGTTCCAGACCTATGTGTGCAACTACCTAATGAACATCTCTACTTAGATATCTCATACTAAACATGTCCCAGACAATTCCATGTAGCACCAATCCACTCTCTTTTTTTCTGTATTCCTGTCTAGTTGTTAAATTCAGAACCTCCAGCTAAATTTTGACTTCCTTTTTTTTTTTCTCATCCCTGATATCCAGTGGATCATGAAAACCATGTGAATCACACTTGAAGAGGAAATGGATTTCTCTCCATTGGCACTGCTCAATACCTTCATTCTGGTAACTATAATTGCTCACCTAGATTAGGCTTCTCTTTCTGTAGTCCTTTTACTTTACTACAAAGAACATACTGCCCCCGCTCCCCCCACCTTTTTTTTTTCCCTTTAAGACAGGGTTTTACTCTGTCACCCAGGCTGGAGTAGTGAAAGTGGTATGATCACAGCTCACTGCAGCCTTGACCTCTCAAGTGATCCTTCTGCCTCAGCCTCCTAATTAGCTGAGACTACTGGCATGAGCCATTGTGCCTGGCCAGACAGTAATCTTAAAAGTCTAACTCTGTGCCACTCTTTAAAAATCTTTGTAGTTGCTCTTATAGTAAAATCCAAATTCTTTGGGCAGCATCGAAGACCCTTTTATGATCTTGCATCTGCTTTCCAGGCCACATTTCTATCCTGTCACCCCATTCTCCTGCAAATGTTGCGGGCTGTGTTTCCCTTCCATTCTCCACAGATGCTTATATGGGACACGTTCCCCACCCAAGACAGGTGTCCCATAAATGTATGTTGAATTAAAAGAAGAAAGTTGAATTGTTATATGAAGCCAGATTACTGGAGCTAAGAAGGTGGTCTTAGTTTTACTTGGACTAAAATCATCATGGTTGTCATAGACTTCAGGAAGGTAGGTAGAAAAAAAAACATTTGCATAACACTGTTCCAAAAGGGATTTTTTTTGTTGTTGTTTTTGTTAGAAATTATCATTTTCATTCTCACAGGAGTGGAATGTGGAGGTCTCAGGAGCATCTATAGTTTGAAGCACAGTATCAACAATATTACCAGCAGAAAAACATCAATAGGATGGTGAGATGAAGTGAAGCATTTGCCTATAATTGATAATGCCTCAAGCCTTACTACTCTTTCAAGGGTAACCCTTGGGCTAGTAGCATTGACGTTACCAGAAGTTTTGAGAAATTCAGCATCCAAGTTCTACCTCAGACTTACCATATTAGAGTTTGCATCTTTAATTGTAAATATACTGGCATCAAGGGTTTTAGAAAAAAGGAGGAGGGTGAATTTTTTGAGGAGAAGGAATGGAGAAAGGGATAAAGACCCGTATATTTTTCTCTCTGTTAGGAAACATAATCACTGCTGCACTATATGTACCCTCCTTGAGTGACCTTGATGACACAGTGCAGAAACATCTCTCATGTGTAGCCGGAACAGTTTACTATTGTAATTTTACAAACTGCCAATAAGCCTTGAGGGCCTGGAAGCAGAGCTGTCTTGAGATGAATGTGAGCTATGAGAAGTGGGCTTTTCCAGGTAAGAGAAAGATGATATTCCCCCAGGCACGGGAGCAATGGGGGCTCATGCCTCTTTGATTGTGAAGCACATACATTATGTCACTGGAATTAAGAAGGGGTTATTAGAGGCTCCAGAAAGGAGTCTCCAGTGAGGCATGTTGATTGGCCAGCAGTGAGCAGTAGCCTTGACTTACCTGGGACTCAAATGGCTTATGAGTTGGAACATGAATTCTATGGCCAAAAACATTTGATTTTCATTAAGATGGCCACAGTGTGTTAAAGAAAATCACAAGTGATTGTTCTCCAAAGAACACACCTGGAGGTGGGAGTGGAAGATGTGACTGTAATAATGTATAGATGGCCAATTGCAAAATGTTTTGACTTGCTAACTGCCTAAAGACATTTAATCACATGGGTTCATAGAATTGCACTGCTGCTCTGGGGTGTCTCAGCTGGCCAACCAACAAAAGCTATGCCTGGCCCATCAGAATGTGAAAGGAGGAGGTGGCGGTGATAGCATTTTACTTCCTAGTGTGGCAGGGTCCACACCTTTAGATTCAGCTTTCAAATAACAACGACTCTGGCTCCTCACCTGGCCCCAGCTGGAGAAGGCCCACTCCACACACAGCTGCTGGTTACAGGCCTGGGTGTCCACAGGCCGCTTGGCAAGCTGGGTGCACATGTCATTGGACACAGGGGTGGAGATCCCAGAGGCTTTCAGCTTCTGACAGGTCACTCGGCGGGTCTGGACACCTCCCCCACAGCTCCGGGTACAGGCAGACCACGAGGTAACCATCCACCTGGGGAAAGGAAGAAGTGTCAGGAGAGTTCTAAAGGGTCAGGCCATGGGGAAAAGAGACCCCCCCTCCCACCCCATCCCTGCTCTTGCCACTAATTTGGGGCCAAGGTTCTTTTCACAGTATTTACTTGGAAAGGCATGGTGAAAAAACAAGTCCTCCCAAAGATATCTGTGTAAAATACCTAGTGTCTGCGAATGTTATCTTATTTGGCAAGGTTCTTTGCAGACATGATTACGGATTATCTTGGATTATCTGGCTGGGCCCTAAATGCCTGCCATAACAAGTGTTATTACGGAGAAAAGCAGAGGGAGATTACATACAGAGAAGAGGAGGAGACAATGTGGCCATGAAGGCTGAGGTTGGAGTTAAGTGGCCACAAGCCAAGGAACACCTGGGGTCACCAGAAGCGGATTCTCTCCTAGAATCTTTGGAGGCGGTGTGACCCTCCTGATACCTTGATTTTGGACTTGCGGCCTTCAAAATCGTAAGAGAATAAATTTGTTTTTTTGTAACTGCAGTGTTGGTACCTCCTAAAGGAGATCCAAGCATATGACAGAGGAGGGACAGTTTTTCTAGGGAAATCAGATCCAAATTTGTGCCACCTCCTGACCCAAAAAGTCATCTGGGCCTCACTGAGGTCAAGGTTGTGTCTGGTGGTGCTCAGTGTACTTCCTACTGTACACTTTGGTCAATCCCTCAGAAACATGTCAAGTTCCTCCCATTTCTCTGCAGTAGTCTATAGGTCTTACACCTACCTCTCAGAGGGCTGCATATGTGGTAGGAATAGTTGTTCTCTGAATGTTAGGTTCCCAAATTGAGACTGACAAATGGAATTTTCTCACAAAGCCAGCCTGTAAACCACGAACATCCTTGGTCCATAAGGAACCATGCAGGGCTTCTCGTTGCATGTATGCGCCCTGGGGTAATTCTCAGAAAGGTGGGGACAGCTTGGGGGAATTGCAAGACTTGTTGCTCATGGCATCTAGAACAAAAAAATCCCACTCTTTGGTTTTAGTGATAGAGAAAATTTATCTAACGAAATGGTTAAAACAGCCACCTGGGTCACAGCAGGGTTATCTGGTTCTGTTCAAAGAGACAACCAGGGAGACATTAGTTCACCTGCAAAGAAGGATACTAAGTGTTCAAAATGCCTGGCAGGAAAACGGGTCAAAGGTGAACCTAGGGCTACTTCCTAGCCAAGTGGCACCACATCTGGCTTTCAGGAGAGGCATGTAGCAGGAAAGGGGAGCAAATTCCTCCTAAATCTGGATCTGTGACTCATTTAGTTTTGTGGCAACTTCCCTGCTCTTTTGCCTTGTAGAAGGATGACTGCATGCAGATTTCCAACCCACAGGAGCAGAGCCACTTAGGAAGCAGGCAAGAGGTGTTTAAAAACTCCTGGGGCCATTGAAACCCAAGAAAACAGAGCCATTATTATTTCATTTGCAGAAGTAAATTAAGCTGATTGACTCTGACCATCACCAAATCAAGTCAAAAAGTTCCTGGCACGTCAAAGATCTCTTCTTCAATTTGCACAGCTTGGCAAGGGCACTTTTCCAGCCTCTTATATCCCTGGTGAATGTCAGGCCTGCATTTCAATCAACTTTTATTTCCAAATATACGTTTCAGCAGTTTTTCAGGAGCTGAGGTGGGGGGTTTGAGAAAGGAGAGGGCCAGGCTATGTTACAGTTCAGGAAGGGTATAAAAGGACATTAATCATTCCTGTGGAAACCTTCCCGTCAGCAAGTCAAACTGCTGATATTAATGAGCATGTTTCATATTTCATTGAGTCTCTCCTGGTTTCAGCTGCTCTTTATGACTCAGCTGGCAAAACAGAAAGCAGTTGCCTAAGTACTGTATGAAAGTCCTACAGATAGGGAGTAAAGGGGCATTGAGGGCCGAGCCAAGTCTCCCCCAGGCTCTGAGCACCACACCAGTGCCAACTCCAAGCCCATCTACTATCCATTTAACTACTGCTGAGGCTGGGGTGCACAGTGGAACTCAGCCTCTGGAAGCATCAGCAAGTATAATTCCAATATGAGTGAGATGCAGGCCTTTATAGAAAAGAAGAAGAAAAGATTTTCTCAACTAAACTGGAGTACTGATTAGCACAGGTATTTAAGGTTAGACTTGGAGGACAGGCCAAGCCCAATAATCGCTGTTTCCTCAGCCCTTCAACTGAAACGACAAGACATTCTTTTCTACAAACAACTCAGTCAGTTGACTGCTGTAGGATGGGGGGGTGGTCTTCGGCTTGCAGGCCCTGGGATGCTCTTGCTCCCTGAAGAGACCCCACTGGGCACTTGGGAAGCCTCAATGGCCATTATTGGGGCTATTTTCAGCATGGCAGAAAGGCCTGACAAGCCTATGTCTAGAGGGAAGAACAGCTGCTTGACTGGCATCTCTCCTTGCACAGTGCTACTTAAGGCCTGGCCATCGACTTTGCTAAAATTGAGGGCCCATTGTAGGTGGGGAGGTCTGAGCCAGCGTCCGCCACACTCACCGAGAAGGGCAGTCTCGACGATTGCACGCGACGGGCTGCACCGCAGGGCGAACCTTCCCTGCGCAGTGGGCAGGGTTGACTTCTGTGCTGTTGAGCAGGCACCTCAAGCGGGGCTGCTGGACCCCCCGGTTACCACAGGAGGCAGAACATGTTGCTAGTCTGTCCACAGACCACCAGTAATCTGTCATGGGAGGAGGAGCAGAGTAGAAAAGATAGCATCATTGCCCACACTCTGAATTCCTTCTGAGCAGGGCAGGGAGAGGGTGGAAGGGGTGGATTTGTGGGCTGAGGGAGAACAGCTATTATGAACGAGGCCCTGATCCTCAAGGGGCACCAGTCTTGAACTATTTGGGCAAGTCACGTGGTCTCTTGGGGCCTTAGCCATGAAATGAGTACAGTGACCCTCAACTCACCAAGTTACTGTGGGGACAGGAAATAATGAAAGTAAAGTAGTGCAGTGCCTGGCATACAGAGAGTACTTACTTAATGCCATAGATCATCTTATTTTTAAAGATATTTGCTAACACACTATTTTTTTTTTCTCATTGGTTCACCAGAAAGTGACTTTGTTTTCTACAAAGAGATACAAATATAGCAAAATACTTAGCCACCACATTAAAAAGTGCAGATTTGAGCTGGACTTTGCAAACGGTACCAAAAAAACCAGCCTATCCAGGGAGTGCTTATTTACATGAGACAATGACGTCAGTAAGAAAGCTAGTTGAGCTGGGAGTCACTGATAGGAAAGCTGTTAAAAATAAATACAGGTGGTAAATTTTGAGTGCTTATTTGCAAAGTAGGCCCTGGCTTCTGGTTTTCTGCAGACAATAGTGGCTGGCAAGAAAATGGAACATTTGTTTCCCTGTCTGAAAAGCCAAATGGTCAGGGGGGATATTTAAGAAGAAAACTTATCTGCTTAGAAAAATTTCCCTCCTTTCTCCATCCTCTTGTGCCATACTGGCAGAAAACTCTGTCCCTTCCCACTGAATCCTTCCTTTTGGAATCACACACAGGCCACAGGTAGAACCAGCCTATGGAAAACTCCAAAAAACTCACACAGTTTTCATAAAAAGGCCACTTTTCCCTCTTTCCCACTGTTTTGGCCTCATTTACAACCCTTTCTTGGTGCAGTGAAGGCCAGGCTCCGCCCAAAAGCTTTCTGACCCGCCTGTTTTTCAAGAAGGTTCATGCATGAACCACGTGGGCTTCTCAGTCTGTCCTTTGCCAGCGTCAAAGGAAAGGTGCCTGGAAAGCCGTCAGCCTACAACTAAAGCCGAAGACTCTTCAGAATGATCAGCGGGTATTGGCACCAGCCCTATCTCTCTAGACGGGGCAGTAACCAAACAGGTTACCCTGTGTGTGTGTGTGTGTGTGAGATCTGTACTAGTTAAATCAGCATAAAGGAATCACATCTGACTTTGATATAGAGTGGTGTTTCCATGGTCCTGAGCTACAGCAACACTATAAGCGGAAGGGCCTACGTATGAAGGCAGCACTGGCTTTTCCAGGTTCTGCTCAGATGGGGCATGATGGCTTTTCTCAAGGGCCATGTTGGCAGAGGTAGAGTCTTACTGTATGGCAACATGGTGCAGCTTCAGTTTTCATGCCCTGGGCACCACTGGAGATCAGAAATTACTTTGTTCTACAGATAATTAGATTCCTAAGTGGGCTTTCTTGTTCAAGAAATAAGTATGCAAAGTCTGCAGGGTTTCTTACCTTGGATCACTAAAGATGCCTTCTGCATGAGCACCCCTGCCTCATTCTGAGCAAGGCAGCTGAATTCCCCTTGAGACCCACTACTAAGGTTTGCAACATGAAGGATCTGTCCAGCTGCCAAGATGTGATACGTCAGTCCTGTGGCAGTGACAATTGGCTGACCACCATGAAACCAGGTGATATTAGGGACAGGGTGACCTTTGATGGGGCAGCCTAGAAGGAAAGGAAAAGAGAAGTAAGCCTTGGTAGAGCCATAAGGAACACATTCTTGGTGCATTGGTTTACTGTCTTTCTGGGTCTAGAAATTGTACACACATTGTGCCCTTGTCCATGGCATTTTTATTATATTTGCCATTTCTGAGCAATGGAGACGTTTTAGCTTGGCATTGTAGGCGCCGGAGGGAGGCTGCTGGTCTACAGGTTGTGTAGACCGTGGGAAAAATGCGGTATCTGAGCCGGAGTGCTAGAGTGTCCGGCAACGTCCCTAATGGCGTCCCTTGGCTGGTAGAGTGAGTTCTCCGGCCCCTTGCACCTCCCGGGTGGGTAGTGCCCCACCCTGCCTCAGCTTGCCCTCCTCGGGCTGTTCCCACTGTCTAACCAGTCCCAATGAGATGAACCTGGTACCTCAGTTGGAAATGTGGAGATGACGCGTCTTCCGGCGTGCTCTTGCTGGGAACTGCAGACTAGAGCTGTTCCTATTCGGCCATCTTGGCAGCTGTATCTTTTTTTTTTTTTTTTTTTTTTTAAGTAAAGTAGAGACAAGGTTTCACTATGTTGGCCAGGCCAGTGTTGAGCTCCTGGCCTCAACTGATCTGCTCACCTCAGCCTCCCGAAGTGCTACGATTACAGATGTAAGCCACAGTACCTGACCTAATGTTTCTTGTTTTTCAATCCCGGGATAGAACTATTAAAATTTATGCAAGATGAAGAATCCTTAGAAATCATCCAGCTCACCATCCACTAGAGGAATAAACTGAGGCCTAGCGATGTTAGGAGACTTTCCTGAGATTGTATGGCAGGCCTTCTATCTGACTACTGGCCGGTATTCTTTTCCCTATACCTGATACTTGTCCAGCAGGGCACCTTGCTACCTTCTTCATTTCTTTGCTCATTTATTTTTTTCCACTTCATTTTTGTTTTTCCTGAGGTAATGTACAGTGAGTGGGTAGGAGCAGAGTATTTGGAAGGGAGGGCTCTAAAAAAATAACCTAAACACGGACCCCTGGAAGCTCCGTATGGGATGTGGTATTACATGAAGAAGTGAAGAATTAGATCATGTATCTGTTGACTCTACCTGGCAACTTGACAGTGCTCTCCCATGAGAGAGCGGTTCCCTCTTCCCCCACCTGGCTTTGGGTTTGGCCCTTTGACTTATTTGGCTGACAAGAAATGAGACAGATGTTACAATAACAATCATCAGAAAAGAAAAAACAAGTTCACTCACAACAGCATCAAAAAGAAGAAAACACTTAGGAATAAACTTAAGGAGGCTACTATGGTTTAGATGTTTGTCTCCTCTAAAACTCATGTTGAAATTTAATTGCCACTGTAACCGTATTAAGAGGTGAGACCTATAAGAGGTGATCAGTCCTCATGGGTTGGGTTAATGACATTATAAAAGGGTGAGTTCAGCCCTTATTTGTTTCTTTGTGCTTCCACCTTTGGCCCTGTGAAGACAAAGCTGTCCTCCCTTTTGGAGGATGTGAAGTAGGACTCTGGAAATTACCTAGGCTCAGGTATTCTGTTACAGCAGCACAAAATGGACCAAGAGACAAAAATCTTGAACACTGCAAGCTACAAAATACTGCTGAAAGAAATGAAAGAAGATATGAATTCATGGAAGGACATCTCGTATTTATGGATTAGGAGACTTAATACTGTTATGATGTCATTACTCCCCATAGTGATCTACCGATTCAATGCAATCCCTATCAAAACGCCAATGATATATTTTGCAAATAGAAAATCTCATCCTAAAGTTTATATTGCATATCCAAAATCCCAGAACAACCTTGAAAAAGAAGAACAAAGAGGATTCATAGTTCCTGACTTCAAAACTTAGTAATCAAGACAGTACTGTACTGGCATAAAGACAGACATAGAGACCAAAAGAACAGAATAGAGACCAGAAACAGACTATTAAATATATGGTCAAATGATTTTTGTCGAGGGTGTCAAGTGTCAAGACCAGTCAATGGGGAAAGGCCAGTCTTGCCAACAAATGGTTCTGGGAAACTGGATATCCATATGCAAACAAATGACTTACAGTATGTATAAAAATTAAAATGGATGAAAGACCTAAACCTAAGAGCTAAAAGTATAAAACTCTTACAAAAAAAATCACTGGGAAAACTTTAATAACGTTGGGTTTGGCAATGGTTTCTTAGAGATGACACTAAAATATAGGCAACAAAAGAAAAAAATGAAGTGGATTCAACCAAAATTTAAAATCTTTTACATATTATATAACACTATGAAGTGAGTGAAAAGGCAACTCACAGAATGAGAGAAAATATTTGCAAACTATAGATTGGATAAGAGATTAATATCCAGAATGTATGAAGAATTCTTAAAATTTGATAACTAACCACCCAGTTTGGGGAAATGCCCAAATAAACAAAGGACTTGAACAGACATTTCTTCAAAAGAGATACGTGAATGGCCAATAAACACATGAAAAGATGCTCAATTAATCATTCGGAAAATTCAAATGAAAACCACCATGAGTTACCACTGCACACCCACCAGGATGGCTGTTAAAAGAAACCCAAATTATAAATGTTTGCAAAGACATGAAAAAATTAGAACCCTTGTGCACTGCTAGTGGGAATATAAAATGGAGTAGCTATTGTGGAAAACAGTATGGTGGGCCCTTAAAAAATTAAATATAGGATTATCATATGCTCCAGCAATTCCACTTTAGGGTACATATTCAAAAGAATTGAGAGCAGATACTTGAAAAGATAATTGTATACCTATGTTCATAGCGGCATTATTCATAATGGCCAAAAGATTTAAACAACCCAAATATCCAACAATAGACGGGTAAACAAAATGTGGTATATATGTATGATGGGATACTATATAGCCTTAAAAGAAATAATACTCTGACATAGGCTACAACATGGATGAGGCTTGAAAACATTATGCTAAGTGAAGGAAGTCAGATATAAAAGGACAAATATTGTATGATTCCACTTATGTGAGGTACCTAGAACAGCCAAATTCATAGAAGCAGAAAGTGGAATTGTGGTTACCAGAGGCTGAGAGAAGGGAGGAAGGGGGAGTTCAGAGTTTCAGTTGATGAACAAATTCTGGAGATAGTGGGGATACCTGCACAAGGTAGATGTATGCAGTGGCATCAAGCTGTGCACTTAAAAATAGTTGAAATGGTAATTTTATCAGCACATTCTCTGAGAGAGTATTGAGGCAGATAAAGGAAAGGTAGCAACCCCTAGGTTGGTCTCTATGGGGGAAGAGGTTACTTATCTGGGAGTCAGAAACCTTAGTCAGCTAAATAAGAGGAATATTTGCACAAAAATAACATCCAGAATCCTCCCTCCTTCTTGGAATCAGAGGCCGTAGTGAGCAGCCAGGAAACCTCTCTTGGCCCATCCGAGCCTTGGGTCTTGGTCCTTTTCCCAGGGCCTCCCAGCCTGCTGCTCCTCTTGCAGCTGAGATGAGGGTAGAGATGTTTCCAAGGGCAGGCCTGCCATGAAGGTGGAGTTCTTGGAACTCAAGACCCAGCAGAAGAAGCAACTAAGCGGTCTTTGAGAAGCTGCCTTCACAGTACAGGCATACCTCATTTTATTGTGCTCTGCTTTATTGCACTTCATAGATCCTGCATTTGTTACGAATTGAAGGTTTGTGGCAAGGTTTGCTGAACAAGTCTACTGGCATCATTTTCTAACAGCATGTGCATACTTTATGTCTCTGTGTTGAATTTTCAAAAGCTTTCATTGTTATCTGTGATGGTTACTTGTGATCAGTGATCTTTGATGTTACTACTGCAACTGTTTTGGGGTGCCACAAACCATGCCCATATAAAAAGAGGAACTTAATTGATAAATATTGTTTGTTTTCTGACTGTTCAACTGAATGGCTATTCACCCATCTTCCTCCCTTCTCCTGGGGCCTCTCTATACCCTGAGATGCAGCAATATTAAAATTAGGCTAATTAACAACACTACAGTAGCCTCTAAGTGTTCAAGAGAAAGAAAAAGTTGTACATCTTTCACTTTAAATCAAAAGCTAGAAATGATTAAGCTTATTGGGGAAGGTATGCCAAAAGCTAAGATAGGTCTCTTGTGCCAAATAGTTAGCCAAGTTGTGAATGCAAAGGAAAAGTTCTTGAATGACATAAGAGCCACTCCAGTGAACGCAAAAAATTGATGATAAGTAAAATAGTCTCATTGCTGATATGAAGAAAGTTTTAGTGGTCTGGTTAGAAGACCAAACCAGGAACAACATTCCCTTAAGCTAATACCTAATCCAGAGCAAGCCCTAACTCTCTTCAAATTTGTGAAGGCTGAGAAGTGAGGAAGCTGCAGAGGAAAAGTTGGAAGCTAGTAGAGGTTGGTTCCTAAGGTTTTAGGAAAGAAGCAGTCTCCCTAACATAAAAGTGCAAGTTAAAGCAAGTTATTCAGAAAATCTAGCTAAGATCACTGATGAAGGTGGCTACATTAAACACAAGAGATTTTCAGTGTAGATGAAACACTCTTCTATTGGAAAAACATGGTATCTAGGACTTTGATAGCTAGAGAGGAGAAGTCAATACCTGGCTTCAAAGCTTCAAAGGACAGGTTGACTCTCTTGTTAGAGGCTGATGCATCTGGTGACTTTATGGTGAAGCCAATGCTCATTTCTAATTCCGACAACCCTAGGTTCCTCAAGAATTATGCTACATCTAATCTGCCTGTGCTCTATAAATGGAAGAACAAAGCCTGGATGACAGCACATCTGTTTACAGCATGGTTTACAGAATATTTTAAGACCACTCTAGAGACCTATTTCTCAGAGAAAAAGACTTCTTTCAAAATATTACTGGTTATTGACAATGCACCTGTCCATCCAAGACCTCTGATGGAGATGTACAAGGAGATTCGTGTTTTCATTTCTGCTAACATTAACATCCATTCTGCAGTCCATGGATCAAAGCATAATTTCAACTTTTAGGTTTCACTTTTTAAGAAACAAATTTCATAATGCTATAG